ACAGGTAACTGGCTAGAGAAAGTTAAAAACATATAGAACAAATTTCAAGTGGACAAAAACCCCCAAAGATAAAGCTCAAAAATACCAGTACTTTTGCTCATGTTAATGAATGCCTAAATCCATGTTTACAGACTTTGTTATTAAGGAATCTTACTTACTTTAGAGAGACATGCATTTTGCCCATGAGCATAATAAAAAGGAGATAGCAGATAGAATTTATGCTTTCCCTGAAACATATCACATTTAATTTGATAGAAAGCAGATAGAGTCAGGTGAACCAGCCACATATTTTCATGATTTATCTGTGTTTAAATTTCAGTATGTAAGGACCTTTATTACTATTTTAAAAAGCAATTTAATTCAATTTGCTCCTATTTTATTAACTCGTGTTATAAAAGGTAAAATCTCCGTTTATTAGCAAGAGTAGGCAAGACTAGTTGCTATGGCAGAGATCAGTGTCTTGTCACAATAGAGGTTTATTTTTTGCTCGCACATCACAATCCATTGAAATTAGGTGACATTCATGAGCTCCAAGCAGTGACAGGGATCTAGACTCCTTGCATCTTCCTGTACTTGCCCCTTTTAAATTATTTCCAGTCTTCAGTGTCCGCCTGTAAGGGAGGGTGGCAAGCATTCATTATTATACAGGGATTTCAGGTTACACAGCATTTCTTTGACCAGAATCACAGGACCTGGGCCAAGTTACTAGTGATAAATAGTTTTCATGTGGGCCAAGGAACAGAAAACTGGACTAATGAGCAACTAGAGAGCCTCTGCTCAAGTCAGAGTCTGTCCTATGATCACCAAAAGTCCATTTCATATTTTTCCCTAAATTCATCAACCTGAGTACCTGCGTGTAGTGGAGGTGGTTTCCTATCTGTCTGTCCTCCCATCTCTTACTAGTTTGCAGTCATATTCTTCTGCTTTTCAAAAGAAAAACTGACACCATGATTCCTTATCTAGCATTCTATTATTCATTGCTTAGGGCTGTAAAGATCTCCAGGGACCGAAGTGACACACTATAATGTTGGTCTCAGAAAGCTTTTGTTAATAAAGACCCTGTTAACTCCCCAGCAGGGTTTCCAGATTACCAGTGTTCCTGTTAATAGTGAATCACAACAGCATGGTGGTGTGTGGTCTTGTGGTATGTTGTAGAGGGGGATTGCACAAAGGATGCTAATTTTAATTCAAGAGTGTCATCTCTACCATCATTCCAGGTTGGTCAACATCCTAGGAGAGTGGCATCTAGAGCATGTTTAGTAAATACAGAGGGCAGTGACATCTGAGTTCATTCATACCACACACAATTGGATAAAGTTCTAGCCTCTGTCAGCTGTCTCTGTCTTTAAAATTCTATTCTGTATAATTCAAAAGTGAAATAACTGTCACACTAATGAATAGCAACTCTATTTCTGGAAATTCAATAATAAAGCCTTTTCCTGAGAGACAGTATACTAAGGGTGGCTTTGCTGATTTTATCACGTGGCAGGTATTTCTCCCGTTTTTTCCCTAAGTATTATCTTAATTATTTTAAAAGATACATACACAGAGATTCTTCAGGGTCAATATATTAAAAGACTGCTGCCCAAATAAGTGCATTCTCTCTGCATTAATTTCCTCACTCCCACTAGTTGGCCTCCTCACAGATGGACTGCTTTTGAGTATTTTGCTTTTATTTCTTGTGGCATTTCTTACCTGTATTTTGTTAACAGATTTGTGTATATTGAAATTTTTAATACACTCAGCCCTAGGCATTTTATTTTCAATAATTTTTTTGCTGCATGAAGGGATTATCTGAGCAGTTCTTTCCTCTACTTTCTCTTTCCATTCTTTTCAATATAATATTGCATATTTGATTCGGTTAAAATCATAATTAATGCCTTACATATTAGTAGTTTGTATAATTATGTTACTTTTCCTATGTTTTGAAGTTACTCATTGTATTTCTCCATATGCTTACTTTATTATGTGTCTTTAGAAAATGACTTCAAAAATTTTGTTATTTTCTTTGTTGGTGACTTTATTTTATTTTTTATTTTTTGGTACAGGGAATCAAACTCAGGACCTCATGCTTGCCAGGCAGGCACTATACCACTGAGCTATATTCCTGGCACTAACTGGTGACTTTAATCCCCTTCTGCCTACACTGGTTCATTACTAAGACATGCTGCATAGCTGGTATTATGGAATTTCCTTTGTCATTCCACAGATCCATTCTTCTGCCATTTGAATTGGATCTTTTGTTTTGGGATATCCTATTTCCATTTTATCTTACTCTCTAATTTTGGTGGCCCAAGTACCCAGAAGCTTCCTGATAGAATACACACGGGAACCAAAATGATGGAATCTTTGTTGGAAAATATGTCCTTCATAATCCATTGTTTCATTAGGTTTCAATTCAAGTTTGGAGATACATATCGGCTAGCTTCACTTCTTTCTAGTTTCTAGCCAAGTTGTGCTTTTGCAAGTTGAAAAGCAATTTTTACTCCTGATAGCATGTTTTGCCTGTTTATACTGCTGAGTGGTTTGTAGAATCTTCTTTATTATTTTTTTCTTCAAAATACATTAGTGTTATAAATGTGTTTGCTTATTGTGTATCATAGATATAATGACACGAGTCCTTTTAAAAGGTGTATCCTTTGTTTTTCTTCTTAAAATATTTAACTGAAAGGTTTTTTTCTTTTTCCCCATTTGTATTAAGGCTTTCTGCTTACATTTAATGTTTTTAATTTCAGCCAGCTCTTCTTTTCTCTGAATATTCCTTTGGTATAGAATCCTGTTCTTCCTTCATGAAGGCAATAGATTCTTTATCTCTCTGAAGATGGTAATGATACCATTCCAAGCTTCTTTTATGTTATTGCAATGGACACTACGTTTCATAGTAGAGGTTTTCCTCAGGCATCTTCTTGGGTTGTTTGTTCATATTTAAAGAGAAGTTAAGAAACTGATTAGAAATTCTAAATGTGTGTGAAGTTTGGTAATAACTTTTAGCTTTCTCGGATGATGTGGCTCCCTGTGTTTAAAAGCCATTTATATAAAATTATTAGATCTTTCTACTTAATAGGGTCAATTTCCCTTTCCTACCTTGACCTTCCAGCTGAGTGGGAGCAGGTCTCCAGTCTGGAATTGAAAGAAAGGATGTAAGTGTTTGTCACACGTCCTCTGGTTCTCTTTATCTTACCACTCTCACCATGCCTTCTGTTTTGAGGCACCCATTTACCTTTGCCAGGTTAGGATATATCATTGCTGTGGACAGCAAGCAAACCCCTTTATCTGGGAGTTAGTAACGAGGATCTGCTGTATTGTCTTAGACCCAAGTGAAGTGTGTCTCAGTGTCTGCTTTCAGTTTTGCCAAAGCAGAGAAGAGAATCTGGTGAGACGCTTCCAAGCTGTTAAAACACTTGTCCCAGGGGCTGGGGATTTAGCTCAGCAGCGTAAGCGCCTGCCTTGTAAGCAGGCAGTCATGAGTTCGATCCCCAGGACCAATAAAAAGGAAAAAGACAGAAAAGAAAAGAAAACACTCATCCCAAGTGACCCTCGTAGCATTTTGTCCATAGAAGGTCAGACAGCCTCCTTACTTCAGAGGTGCAGAACAATACAATGTGAACATATGCCTGGGAGGAGAACCAGAAATACTGTGAAGATAGCACTATGGACTCCTTGCTTATCAGGTGCTCACAGTTCTTGGATCTTTCCAACACTGTGAAATGCACATGGGTTTCTTCCTCAGCTTTCCTCCCTGCTGGTTTAGAGTATGTGTTTGTAAATTAGCCAAACTAGTTACCATTTATCTATTTTCGTGTTTCCATTGTCTTTTCCCTGACACTCACCCTTATTTGGGAGTGTGCCTCAAAGGTTTTTGCTTTAGTGGAGTTTAACAGAGGAATGAAGTTGTATTGAATATGTTAAATATGTTGTCTTTATCAGAAAAGTATGGGTGTAATTTTCATGCGCTGAAGGAGCTAATTCTGTGACTATGCAGTTAGTGAAAATACTTTATGCTTAATGAATCTGATAGAATAAAGATTTCTTAAAATATTGTATTGCTAAATAACCTTCTGATCTTTCCAATTCTCTCTGCATGTTGCATTTTAAAAAAAGTACTCCATCACCACTGAAATCTCATGACTTGGTATGGTGACATCTATAGGCCTACACAGATACAATTCTTAAGAAAAGAAGTAATTATCATTTCTCCCTTAATACATGACTAATTACTTTTCATCAGAAGCCAGACATAAAAGCCATTAGGAATTTTAATTGATTCTCAGTCATTAAAATGCTAGACACCTTTATCCCCAATATCAATAGCACTTGGACTAATAATGATGGTAGCCAGAGAAACCAATGGCTAGTCCAGTTAGAGGGGTACTGTATGTACAAAAAATTTTCAATTTTGAAGTTATGCTACAAAAATGAATGCAAATGTAAGAGTTCCTTGATTGCTTTTGGATGTCTTGCATATATCGAGCTTAACAAAATATTGACATTAATTTTACCCACTTCTTTTAGGTTTTTTTCAGTGGGCAGTTGGGTATCTAAAATTACATATGTGGCACACCTTATATTCCTGTTGGACAGTGAAGGTCCAGTCCAAAAAAGTAGTAGAATTTGGAGAACTGGGATTCCTTTCTCCTACCTAGATGAAAGTTTCCTTTTCAGTTATAATTTCTTCCCTAAAACCACTCTCTCCAGGAAGTGCAGCGCCACACATGACCTTTTTCAGCTGTTACTTTTTTCATGGTATGTTTTGGTTCCACAGAATCAAGCTATGAGACGTAATGGTTATACAGGAGATGCTCAAAAGACAACAAAGAAATGGAAAGAAGTAATTTCTTTACACTGCAGGTCCTTACCATATGCATGTATTAGCCAGAGGTCATTGAAGATGGCCAGAGAAAGAAGCTCCCGGAGAACAATCCTGAGGAGGAAGTGTGTTCTCTGGAGGCCTTTACTGTGAAGTGACTTAGCTACCCGTTTTTGCTTTGTGATTATTCCAGAACGCTGCGATGACTGGGGACTGGATACCATGAGACAAATCCAAGTATTTGAAGATGAACCAGCTCGGATCAAGTGCCCACTCTTTGAGCACTTCCTGAAGTTTAACTACAGCACAGCCCATTCGGCCGGCCTCACTCTGATCTGGTATTGGACCAGGCAGGACCGGGATCTTGAGGAGCCAATTAACTTCCGCCTCCCTGAGAACCGCATTAGTAAGGAAAAAGACGTGCTCTGGTTCCGGCCGACTCTTCTCAATGACACAGGAAACTATACCTGTATGTTAAGGTAACTTAACTCGCAGCAGTAATTTTCTTTCTCCTCTTGGGTTTCTAGTCCTTTATTCTGATTGTGAGTGTGGCCCAAAGCTGGGAAGGGTGAGGAAGCGTTTGATAGAGTTGTGCATCACCTGAGTGTCTTAGACGAGGTGAGATGGAGATGTGCGGGAAAACTGATGTGGCCCTGAGATCATTTCCACGAGTGGCTCCTTTTCAGACCCTAACATATGCCAGGGGTCTGAAGTCATTAGTTTATTCACGTCTTTTCTGCAGTGTCAGAACCCACAGCTCCCCTGAGGCATCCATTTCCTTAGAAATTATACAGGGCAGGGAGGAGAACTTGTTTACATCTGTTATTCTTCAAATTGTTCTAAGTTCTGGGCACAGTGGACACACTCAGAGTACCTTGTAGAAGAAGGAATATTTGGGACACACTAAATGAATTTAGGGCAGTGATTTTGTACTTTTCTACCAGAATTCCCCTAAGAAGCAAGTAAACACCAGATCCCTGGGAATCTAAGACTTAGTCTAAACCACTAACCATCATTGCAAAGTTTCTCAAATCCATTTTTTGTTGAATGTCATTATAGATTTGATCTTTTATCCTCAATGTGCCTGTTTTTTTTCTTTTATAATCTGCTAATGCTTTGTTTTGCAAATAAAACAAAACTAAAGCAAATAAAGAATTGAGGTCCCAGCAAAAAAATAACCACTTTAACTCTTTCTTCTTTGGTTATTTTTTACTTACAGTCTCCTTTTATCTACCAGACTGAATCTTTGTTTCCTGAACTCCTATCTATTTTTGTTTGTTTTTGTGGGACGTTTTTTTGTTTGTTTCACATAATTTTCATTACATCCCTTAACAGGTATATTGATTTTCCAGAATTGCAGTAACAAAACACCACAGGCTAGATGGCTTGTACAACAGAATTTTTTTTTTATTCCAAAATTCTAGAGACTAAAAGTCTAAGATTAAAGTTGGCAGGGACCATTTCATTCCCATTAAAACTCTCCGTGGTTTCTAGGCTATCATGCTCTCTCCATACCTTTTCATGACCTTCTGTTTGTGTGTCTGTGTCCTAATCTCTTCTTCCTATTAAGATACTGGTAATACTTGCTTAGGCCCCACCCTTATGACCTTATTTTATTTACAGATCTTGTTTCAAATATAACAAAATTCTGAGGTTCTGTGCATTTGAACTGCAACACATGATTTTGGAGGTAGTGCAGAACACAATGCAATCATAATAGTAATCATGTCTCCTTTTTCTCTCTTAAATGTTAGCCATTCTCTGATTGAGACATATAACATGTTTTGATAAATGTAAGTTATGTGACAATTATATAGATAAGACATCTTCTGTGTCACCAAAAGCTTTTGATCTACGCCACCTCTCTAGTCCCTTCTGCGGCTTTTGCCTGATACTTTTGCCAGACTGACTTGTGGGTTCTGAAGTAGCCTAGACTACTCATGTGCCCATTGGTTATGTCCTGGTAAATCTCAGTTACAACAGATTACACTGGAAAGAGCGCTGACGATCAGGCTGAACAGGCAGGGCATCCGTCGGGCTCCATCAACGTGTGGCTGGTGAAGTTGTGAAAGTTGTGCTCACATCTGGATTTTTGGTGTCTTTTTCTGCACAGTAGGAGCATTGACCTACATGCTCTTTGAGCTCACTGACAATTATTAATCCATTAATATTTCCCTAGCAAATCCTTGGGAAGTAGTCATTGTCTGTTTCTCTTTGATTCTGAGTCTCTATACCATGTTCTAGCACTTCTAATCTGTTTCTTTTGTTTAACTACGCACTACTTGCCTGAAACTCTTGTCCAAATTTCTGTAATCTTTTTTCATCTCACTGATAGAGCTGCTTGAATGGTGAGGATATATCTTTAAGTATTGCTTATCAATTTCTACATGGTCTGTTGTTCAGTTTACCTGTCTGTTTATCTTCCTTGTCTCTTAACTAAACATAGAACTGAAATTGTCTTCCGGGAGCCCTAATAAACCACCTATTGCCCTGCTCTGATTCCTAAACTGAGAATGGCCTTCAACATAGCCATGCAGAATCATGACTGGATGTCTTTTAATCTATAAAGTGAGATTCATCTTCCCATATTTTACAGTTTATTTTTATACTTCTATATTATTCACTGTAGAATTGCAAAAGCCAGTCTAACCACTATTCATCACTTTTATTAAAGTAAGAAACTGTGCCTTAATATTGTTAAATGTGTCTTGTATAACTTCTACCTATAGAATCTGTCTGCTACAGAATATACCTTTTGTTATGAGTGGACAGAGATCATACCTGACGTTGCCCCTTGCCGTGTTCCTATGACTCTCAAAAGCTGCCTTGGAGCACCTTTCCCATCCTCTTTGGGGATGCATGTCCCATTCTTCCATTGTACTTGGTATTAGTTAAGAGTCATTGACTGTCTGCTGCATGTTTGGTCTTGTGGTTAAAAATCATGAGTACAGATGAACAAAACTATTATGCTGTCATCAAAATATTTACTTTTATTATTGTATTGTAAATATATACACACACACACATATATATATGTGTGTGTGTGTTTGTGTGTGTGTTTTACATCTATTTGACGTGTATCATCTAAAAATTTAGATGCTGTATCATATGCAATAAATACAATAAACAAAAATGGTTTTGTGGAGTTTACATTTTTCAGAGGATGTTGATAAATATTTATAATTTCAAAGTATGATATGTGAAATTAATATCTCCCAGGTGTGTAGGAATGCCCCCCCCCATTTGGGATATGGGTTTGGTAGAGGATAATAGACATGGTGAACTCTCTAGGCAGAAGAAAAGCTGTGAAAAGACAATTTCCCAGTTATTCTAAAAGTTTTTTGTGTTTGCTTTTGCCTTTCATGCCTGACTGATTTTACAAGGACTGATGACAGTTTTATTTTATTTATTTTATTTTTTTTTTATTTTTGTCGGTATCAGGGATCGAACTCACGACCGCCTGCTTGCAAGGCAGCTACTTATGCCGTTGAGCTAAATCCCCAGCCCTCTGATGATAATTTTAAATGGTTGTTCTATAGTTTTGTCACAATTTTTATATTTGATTTTTCTGTTTATTCCAGTTTCCTGAGATGGCACTAGATGGACCTTTTTGATTATGTGCTGTCTCTTTTTCCATTTTTCTCCAGCTCTATTACATGGAAAACAAAGGAAAAAACAAGCAAAAACTTCCAGACATAAGGTTATTAGGCCAAAACCTAAGACTTTATAAATTATCCTGGAAACAGTCATTTTCGAGTAGTTGTTTTAACTATCATCAGCTATGCATCCATATGCCAGTCTTGCCTTTGCTTTACCAATAATGAGTAAGCAAATGTTTTAAGTGAAAAATTTTAATCACACACACATTCTTAGGGTCTTATGTAAAATACAAATAATGTAGAGTAAATCATTGTGTGTGGTTTTTATTTTGTGATGCCAGTTGGTATAGAAAATACCTCTATAACTCATTAGATTTTTAAACCAATGTGTGCATATAAATGAGGTATTAATTGAGTTCATTTTTATTATGATCACAATACTCTATCAAATGCAAAGGGAACTACTGCTCATTGCATGTTCTGATTTCAGGAACACTACGTACTGCAGCAAAGTTGCATTTCCCCTGGAAGTTGTTCAAAAAGACAGCTGTTACAATTCCCCTATGAAACTCCCAGTGGAAAAACTATATGTAGAAGATGGCATTCAGAATATCGCTTGTCCAAATGTGGATGGGTATTTTCCTCCCACCATCAAACCAAACATCACTTGGTATATGGTAAGCAAATCACAGCAAATTTTAACCTTTCTAAAGTAGTGATTGTTATTTGCTGCATTAAATATAGACAGTTAAAACATAAATGTAGACACTGAGATTTTTTTTCATTTTCAGTTATTTTATTTGTTCTTAATAGCTTTATGCAACTCTTTGACCATTACCTCATTTGGTGTTGTTTAAAGAGAAGCCACATAAAACTTTGCCCCAGCCCACTATTTCTTAAGTTAACACTCGCTGGAATACCAGAACTGACAGATTTCAGCTGACTTCCTGTGGGACATGTTTTGAGAAATGCTGGCCATTTCTGCTAACCACTTAATGAAGTCAGAAGCTGCTGATTCATCTGGTGAATTTCAACTCCTCAATTAGTCAGTACCGTCATTTATTATTTATATGTGTTTTCTTGTTTGCCCTCATTTGTGGGTGCCATCCATCTGTAGTCTTTTCCACATCTGAGAGATTTGGAAAGTGTTTTTAATCAATAAACGAAAGTGTCAGAAGGTGAGGGTGGTGGCGGCAGCTCAGCTCTGACTCTCTTCAAGTCTCTGCAGGCACCACAGCTGAAACCTCAAGGACAGTAGTTGCCACAATATTCAATGACGTGTGATTTAGGTGATTTCTAAGAACTGATTTCAGCTAAGTGAATGAGAGAGGCCACCAGAAGCCTTAAGACATAAACGAATACATTTGTAAAAGGCCAGAAATTAGATAACTCATTTAAAACTTAGAATGAAGGAAATAAATTGTTTCAGAAATGAAGCTAAACTGAGAAGAACATAGCAAATGCCAACAAACACACATAATAATGTGAAGCCATAAAGTTTTTAGGGCATGAATTACAGAAAACTTACAAAACAATAGTGAGGAAAATAAGATTAGACTGGGTATATACACGTCAGATAGTATACTTTAAGATAATGAGTGTTACTAGCAATAAAGAGGACATTTTATACTAGTGAAAAAGTGATTTCATCAAGAAGACATGAAAATAAAGCTATAGTAATACAGTACAGTACTTCCAAATACAGTTAGCAAGACTTGACTGAATTGAAGGGGAAAAAGACAATTCCACAGTCACTGTGGAAAATTTTGAATTCTCTAAATTGCTATTGAAGTAACTTAAGAATGAACTTAGAGAGACTTCTTAGGAGCAATTTGCAATGAGATTTTGAGGAAAATCGTGCTTGGAAAGAACTATTCTACTTCCTATGCAATTCTGTGCCGAGCAGGCAGTGGTTGCATGTGTGTGGTTCTGGAGCATAAGAGAAAAATCAGAGCTGGTGATAGAGAATTGTATGCATCTATGTGATATTTGAAGCCCTTGAGAGGAATAAATAAAGCGAGAAGAGAAGCCAACAAAGTGAGTCACTGGAGACACTATTCATGCGGTGAATGGAAGCATGAAGTCTGAAAAAAAAAAAAAAAGACTGAGAGAAAAATATGTCAGTGATGTAAAACAGTTGCCATGGCAGTGGCCCAATAGTGTACAAGTGATGACAATCGGCAAACAACCATCTTTTCTATCTCTGATCATAAAAAAAATTGCTACTGGTGCATGCCATGCAGGCTTTGCTTCTCCCCCTTTGCCTACTTGGCAGATATTTTTAATCCTAAGATTTCTTCCATCTTGGGGACAAATCAGTGTTTTCATTAGCTATATTTTCTGCTGCTGTAAAACAGTGGCAGTGTTGCTTTTTGCTTTTTGCAGTGTTGCTTCTGGCATTATGCTCAAACATCCAGTGAGGGACCACAGTCCTACTACAGCAAGTCTCTTTTGGTTGAAATCTCTACGTTGATGTCGTAGGAATGGTGTATTTTACTACAAGGTTAAAAGTTACATTAATTAGGATCAATTCTAGCAAATTTGTTTTTATATCTGAAAGTTGAAAGCTGCTGTATTGAAACGATGAAAAGGAAGCTAATATAGCAGACATTTTACTAGTGCTGTATAAGGCAGTATGTCAAGGTGCTGACTTTATATGGTGTAATATTGGTGATACTCTTCACAACTGTTCAAGAGGGATGTCGTCTTTCAATAGACAAAGAAATGGAGCCTTAGAGAGGTAAACACAGTGAACATCCAATGAATGCAGGGCTTGTTCCAAGTGCTTTCTTTCAGTGTTTTGCTCAACATTCTTATGAAGTAGGCTCTCCTGTTTTCTAAGGAAAACAAGGTAGAGTGCCATTGAGAGATTTCCCAAAGAGCATAGGGCTGTCAGCCAAGATTGAATCCCATGTGCTATGCTCTGTACTTTTCTATAATTTTCTCAAAACAATTAAGATGCAAACAAAAGAGTCAGAGATTTCAGGTCAGTTTTGTGTGATTTCAAAACCTTTACTTTCTGGAACTGATGTACAAAAGGTCTTTACTGTTAGAATTTAGGGTCCTTTGCATCTTAGAATATGTAGCGGATGATGAGCTGAAGTAGGGGACCAGGGGAACTTGTGAGTGGCAGGGCCTGGGAAATGAGAAAGGGCTCTCATATAGTATCCTTGGAGGAAGCAGAAAACCTCATGTTTGTATTTCAGAATTAAGGGGGAAATGGGGCAGGATTTCATTTTCTTCCTCTGCACATCTTCACTTCATCTTTCTCTTCTCTTCTGCATGGCCTGGTTTCCTTAATTCAGGAACCAGAATTCACAGTTCTCTAATTCAACAATCCTAGGAGGTAAATTGATGCTCAGTAAATGTTTGCTGAGTAAGTCAGGTTTGGTAACCAGCCTGAAAAGGAAATTGTGGTTTCTAAGTGATTTCCTGAATTTCAAGGAACTTCTAGAGCACGGTATGTTTATAAATTGGAGAATGCCTGTTTTATGTACATTGGGACTTCTAAGTATATAGCAGTAAAAATGGAAGTAAATGTGATCCTGTTATTGCTGTCATTTTTATTGCTATTATTATTAGATTTATCTGGAGACCCGGGTTTTAAAATATGGCAAGCCATCCAAACTTTCGTATTACTGGATTAATTTTCTGTCTCATTGATATGGTTAGATATTTGAAATTCTGTTTTATAGAAACACTCATAAAAGATAAAACAATTTTTCCTTTTCTCCAAAGATCAAAAAAAATCCGCTTTATTGGATGTTTTGTTTATTATACTATGACAACTGCTGAAAGCCTCTCAACTACCACTCAGCAGAAACAATGTCAAGCTGGTATCAGTTTAGCAAAAGCAGATCCTGCTACCCATCGTGGTGCTTAAAATTGGGGTATGACCCTCCCACTTGTAATTTTTACCATGTAATCAACCAGATTTTGTCAGATGTTAGATACTTGAATCTCAGAAAATAGCAAAACCTTTGCTTATTTTTTTATGAAAAATATCATCAGGAAAGAACACTGCTGATAAAGTGTCTTGCTAGCATTACATGTACTGTTGGGCAGTTAGTCCAAGGTTTGTGTAATAGACTTTGGTTTTTAAATGCTTGCTTTAATTTGGTTTGACAGCTTAGATTGGTTCTTGCTCTCATGCCTTTCCCCATGGTCCCCATACAGCGATTTCTGACCTTTGAAGATAGTGTGTGTCAGATTTTCTTTTAGAGTTACTTGGATGCACTTAAACATGCAATGTTTTACATTCACTGTTAGGGCTTTCAAGGACTCAAAATTCACCATTTAAACTTAAAACCAAATTCAAATAAATATCCACTGAGTCTACAGGCTAAATTAGGTCAAATCAATCACCCATTCTGTGCTTTGATAGAACTTAATTCACCTCTCCTCTTTGTTCATGTGGTGATTGTATTCCAAATGTGCTGCACAGGGTGCTCTTTCACTTCCTGTTCCTTGAATACCAAGCACACAGTGTAAAACTGAGCCAATACACATTTCACTTAGGAATTGATTAAATAATTGAGTGAATTAGATGAGAGTATAAAGTTTCACGAGAACAAGTGCCATTTCTGTTCTTTCTGGCTTGTTGTGTGCATAGCTCCTAACAGTGCCTGGCACATTGGAAGGACTTTGCCAATATTTATAAATATTGAAAGACTTAGTTCTGTTTACTGGAAGTGACTGAGTTATGTAGCTCTTCTGAGACTTCATGACAGAGTAGAATGTATTTTATAACCATATAATCTTGGATGTAAAAGCTTCAGCAGCTATTCCAGACTCTCCAGAACTTGTGCTAGTTAAACTCTTTGTATTTTTATTCTTTTCCCTTCCTTTTAAATTTCATCACTCTGTGTTTCATATTCTGTAAACGCATCACCCACTGTATACACCATGAGCGCTCTAACCATGTCTTAAGCCGTTGCTTCTTACATATATAGTTTTGATGGTGGAAAGGAATGTGCAGATCTCCATGTGTCAGACATTGAGGCAGATTGTTGATCAGGCAGATGTTACTTATACACCTCCTACCGGGCCATACAGCAGAGAATTTTCTAAAGGAGGAGGTTTTCATGGAAACACAACATTGCAGTGAAGTAATTTAAGTCTAAAAAGAAGCAGAAAATACTATCAGAGTGCAGGCGAGTTCTTCGTATCTTCCCTGTGCTTGGAGTGTATCTCGCTAATGTTTTCACTTCTCCCCAGTAACTATGCATGTTACAATTATGCTGAAAGATCCAGCCCAGAGTTTCCTTCTTCATTAAGTTTTCTAGATGCATACTGTTGGATTTGCTGCATATACTCTTCTGCCCCCATAAACCTTCTATTTGATTTGTGACACTCTTTCATTAAACTAAATACCTATAGGTTAGGAGCCTAATCTTTTCCAGCTTTGTGCTTTGTTCTTTCATGTGATAGGTTCACTGAAGGAAAACACTTACCCTTCGCTTCTGCATGGCATTCCCTGCCAGCAACCTTTCTTTCTCCACATGCTTTATTTCCTTCCACTCAAGGATTTCAAAGTCACTTCTTGTGCTGCTTTTTACCCCCATGTTGGGGTTGGTTGTCACAGTAGCAACTTAGTGGTTGAAAAGTTGTTCTTCTATTTCACTTCTCTATTTTGAAATCAGAATGAGGAAGTTCTCGCACACCTCGAAGGACTGTTTGTTCTATAGTCAGTCTAGTGTTTGTTTCTTTGTAAACATCCATTTACTGTTAGCTTATTTCTCATTTTTGGAAATGTTTTATACTTGATTATTGAAATCTGTGTTTGTTTCCATTTTTTGATGGATTCCAAACAAGTGGTCCTGAAGTCATTACAAGATTCACAAAGTCTTATTTTTCAACATTTCTTTATTATGTTTAACAATGTCTTAAAAGTCATATTCTATAGGGTCTAGAGAATGAACTGCTTATAAGGAAGCTTGAGATCTAGTTTAACAGTTTGGGCTAAAATGAAAAGTTTAAGAGTGCCTTGATACTGATTCCTTGACACATATAAATATTTACAACCTGAAATAATGCCTGTATTTCGGTTCCCCAAATGCTACAGGCATAATGGATTCCTCTCAACACACTCTTAAAAAAAGTGCTGTTGACAAGTTTGGTATAACTGACTTCTAATCTTGAAAAGTACACTTTTCCAGCTTCCCACTAATTGCAGGAATCAGTGTAATTCATAGGACAGAATCCCAGCATCACTATTAGCAGTGGAGCTGGCCTTGGGGTTGGCATGGTTGCAGAGCTGCTGCATTGCATGAGGGACTCTAATAGGTAGAATTAAAAGCAAATGCTTTGACACCAAGATTTAGGTTCACAACTAAAGCAAATAGACCTAGATCCAAATTTCAGTTTTGACACTGCCTCGTGCAGTAACAGTGACTGCCACTTACATGTCATAGGTCTTTGTTTCTATATCTATGAACTAGAGAGAAAAGCAAGAATGGGTTGAGATAATGGAGCACATGGTAGTTGTATATCTCAGTGTAATCTGTACACCACCAGCTGGATCATGGCTGAGGAGCAGTGTTCAAAGTTAGCTAAGCCAGTAAGTCTTTATTCAGCTGTCTGGAAATCTGAGTTATAGCTGTAAAATTTCCTATCTGGAATATCTCTGTGTTTTGTGGTTCTTCTTTTCTTTTCTTTTCTTTTCTTTTCTTTTCTTTCCTTTCCTTTCTATTCTATTCCATTCCGTTTCTTTTCTTCCCTTTCCTTTCCTCCCCCCCCCCATCTATAAAACCAGAATATATTCTGATCTGTCTACTTCACAGGGATTTAAGAACAGCTAAACTAACAAATGAAGAGAAAAATATCTTTGGCTTTTTTAAATGAAAGGTGACACAAAAATCAAATAGAGTTCTATAGGCATTCTGTCCTCAATTTAAACCCAGTCTGGCATAAATGCACTGTAAGAGTTTAGGCCTTTGTGACTTCATTCTTTGCGATAACCTAAGGTGTTGAAATCTTCCACTGATGTGACAAGTGCCCAGAAGCACTGCTTATCAAAACAGGAGAAATTGCACTGAGGAAATCTCATACCCCAGCTTACATCAGATCCTCTCCACGCAGCCGAGGTTCAGTACTATTCTCAAAAGACGAATTTCCTGTGAGAAAGATTATGAAATGTGCCTCTTAAGGTAACTGTCATATTTCAAAATATGTGCTTCAGGAATTGAAGAAAAATTTAAATGTACCAGAATTACAGTTGCACATAAGAATATAGGAAATTAAACCTAAAATTATTAATAGATCAGAATTTTAAAGACGTAAAGGACCTCAGAGATGAATTAATCTTTTTTAACCCATGAATTAACGATGCTTAAAAGCAAGACAAAGACATTTTTTATCATTATAAGTTATATAAAATAAATACATTCATCATGGGAATTAGTGTCTATACATGTGGATCTTGATCCATTTTACTTCTCTTTTCCCTCCCCAGCTCTCTTTTCCCTTCCTCAGATTTCCTGCCAGTCTCTGTCACTGTTTCCTATCATCTATCTTTTATTTTAATGTTAAAGCAAAGTGATATTGTTTTACTTTTTTGAGAGGTGGGGCTTCTGGCAATCAAACTCAGGACCCTGTGCTTGCCAGGAAGGTGCTTATGCCACTGAGATATATCCCTGGCCCTCATGCAAAAGGTTTTTTGAAAAGCAAATATTCAACATGTTTTTTTCATGAATGAGAAATTGAATGTTTCACTAAAATAAAAAATAAAAAAAAAAACACTAGCCATTTGATGAGACTAAGCCAAAACAAGACTCTAATTACTTTGTCAGCAATAGTGGAGTCTCAAAACTTTTGACATCAGTTGACTTGTAGGAGCGTATGAGAAGCACAAAGATACTTGTCAATCTTGATAAGGCTCCGTGTTTTTAATATTTAAATTCTGGAGGCTATCCTACTACTCACTTGTAAAACTAAGATAAAATAGAGGAAAACGAGAATGGCAAATGATGTCTAAATCAGAGTCTGGTTAATCTGACAGAGTGAGTGGGATCCTGAAATAATAAAATCAGTGATAGTTGCAGAAAAAATGAAAAGTAGTTGTTTGCTAAAGAAGAGTTTGCAGTTGCTCAAGATTTCTTTGTCATCATTTCCAAACCGTAACCTTGCTTCACAATCAACACTGGGTTCCAACAATTTGAGTACTGGATCCTGAGACAGGAAGAGGTCTCTGTTTTTAAAGTCACACCTTTGCTCAGAATTTTAACTGCCTTCTTGCAAGAAAGTTAATGACATTCATGCCACCTTGCAGAAATGTTGTCTAGATAATTGACCAAATAGTTTTGCAAAAAGTGCAGAACAGATTATTTCGACATTGTTCTGTGAAGAATTAGATGCCAGCATAGATGTGTTTGTATATTTGTGATGAGCATAGCTAAGATATAAACATCTTTTCTTCTTCTAGGGTTGTTATTTAGTAAAGAATTTTCATAATGTACTGCCTGCTGGCATGAACTTGAGCTTTTACATTCCTTTGACTTCAAATAATGGAAATTACACGTGTGTGGTTGCATATCCGGAAAATGGGCGCATCTTTCACCTCACCCGGAGTGTGACCGTGAAGGTGGTGGGTAAGCATGACCTGTATTAAGCACTCACAGAAAAATATGCAGTAATGTGACACTGGCTCTTAGAAATTTATTACAGTCAGTCTGTAGATTCTGTAAGTGGAGACATATTTTTTGTCCATTGCACTATCCTCACAGCCTTCAGCAATTCCTAGTGCAAAGTAATCATTTACCAGCTATCAGTTGAGTCAACGATATGTGAACAAGTGAAATAAGGCTTATGGGGGGGTGAAAAGTGTATCAGGCAGACTTCTGTTTATTAGCCTTATGACTGATCAAGTTCTCCAACTCATCCTATCTGTAAACTAGCACTAAGATCACCTAGTAATTGAGAGTATTAGAAGTAATATACATACAGGCTGATAGATTTCCAGGCAAGCAGTGGAGTCTCAATGAATATTATTAATATTATTGTCCAAAAAAAGTATTTTTCTTGGTTGGGTTAAGTACATTGTCTCATTCTATATACTGAAACTACTGTTGCTGTTGCTGGTGATATTTGCTAGCAGTTCTCAGCATGGTTTTGCATTGAGGGAACTGAGCCAAAAACAGGGAAATGGAAGAGAGAGTCCCGTGACAGAGTTGGAACTCCTATCAGATCCAGATATTGAGAGAAATGATGTCACCATATGTGGCATTTAAGGGCAAACCATAATTTCCACTGTGTCTCCCCTGTTTAAAATAACATATGTGAGTAATATTTTTCTATACTTATATTCAACTAAGTGGAAATGTTGAATCCCAGAAACAGGAAGTCAGTTCTTTAAAGACACTCCATGAGTTAGTAGAACAAGTCAATTTAAAACCTTGCTGTCTGTCTGTTCAGTGATTTTTCTACTAGTTGGACACCAGATTCAAAGTTTCTACTAGTTGGACACCAAATTAAAAGTTCTAATGTAGGGCAAATAAAATTCAAATCATATAATTTTTAAATCATTTATCTGCTTACTTTTTGAGTGACACTGAGGTGGGTTTTTATTCTCATCTTAGAGTTAAGGGAAGATTTTCCTTTAAATAAAAACTCAGGTTCATATGGTGAATATATAGCCACATCACAATTAAAACATGCTCACTAAATCTTTAAAACCACAAAAAGTTCATAGAAGGTTTTTCTTTCAATTTAGGAATACAGATTATTATAAAGAGCAGTAATCCCATGAATGGGCTTTTAACAACAATTAGGTAGATGTCTGTTGATATAAATCTTTTTATGCATACATTTATTTAAAACATTTAAATAGATCCCATACAAGACTGAGGATTTTATAGATAAATATTTAAATAATAACTAATAAATGAGTTATAAATTGAAAATTACCATTAACATAATAATGCTAATTTATATCTAATGTGTAATAATTTGGTATCTAAAAGGAAGTATTTAGAGGAGAAATAATTAAAACATTAAAGCTTTTAGTTATACTGTGTTTGGCATAAATGAGAAGTCTATCCACATGTAAGTTTTAGAAGTGAAGGACCCGAGTTAAACAGTGTATCCTGAATCATGGGAAGAATTCAGTGTGCTTTTTTAGTGTCTTTATAAAGAAAAAAACTTGCTTTGTTGTACTCACAGCACTTGTCACCAAACGTGTGAGTTTTATACACCGAGTGATCCTGCAGGTCTCTGAGGCTTCTATCTGTGTTCCCTACAATTTAAATCAATTTGATACTGATTACCTGGTTAGCACAGGTCCCACAGTGGAAGGGCTCAGTCCCACCGGACTGCCCTGCTTCTCCCCTTCAAATGCCATTGCAAGCAGTGGGTCCGCAGGTTCCCCACATCTGCATCCCATGTGCGTATGGATTGATGGTTCCTACAACTTCCTTCTTAAATCCTGTGATTTTTCCATAGTGGTTTACAAAACTCAGAAAGTCATTTTACTTACATTTACTAGATTTTTATAAGGGATGCTATAAAGAATTCAAATGCACACCAAGGTGAAGATGTACATAGGTGAGGTCTACAAGTATCTGCCAGGCTTTTATATCATACCTTGCTTATCTTTCCTGCTTCCAACCCTCACTGTGAAGCTATTGAGGAACAGTGGCCATCTGATTAGCATACAGAGAGAAGCTCCTTACTCCATTGGATCCAAGAGTTTTAGAAGCTTTAGGACTCAAACTGGGAGTTAATACCAAATAACAAAAAGCTAGGGCAAAAATACTCATAGTCACCCTAATACTCAGGAGATTAAGTACCAATTAGGAGCTCTGTGTCAAGAGCCGGTAAAACAGACTAAATATATTCTTTTTAGGATGTTGCACTTAGGCACTTAGTTGTTTGCTTTAATTGAATGAAGTACAGTAAAGTTTTATATATAAAATACTACACATCTTCTCAGGAATTGAAAAACTGTCCCAGGAAATTGGACACAACTTCATGGAAGATTAATATAGCTACATGATTTAACCTCTCTCTCTGTCTCTCTCTCTCTCTCCTTTATCTCCCTCTGTCTTATTTTCTGTATCACAGGCTCTCCAAAAGATGCATCGCCCCCCAAGATTTATTCCCCCAATGATAATGTGATCTATGAGAAAGAACCAGGTAATTATAGCTGTGCAACTGAATTCCAGTTAGATTCTCTGAATTACAAGTAGTAAAGTGCGGTTAAGTTAGCAAAAGACAGCAAGGAGCTGCTATAAAGAAATGCATGAGTTTAAATTGAAAGCCTGTTGTCAGAAACCGAGGCAGCTCTAGGGATGAGCTGCTCTGGGATTACATGGGCAGAAAACTCAGGGATTCTCTGCCTCTCTCTCTCAGCTTCTGTGCCTTCTCCTACTGGCCGTCTTCCTCTGCTGATCAGCGATTTCTGTTTCACACAGACTTGACTTTGCACAATGCTGTGCTTTGCAGAGACAGGAGCATAAGACATCCGTTAAGCTTCTGTGCCACTAACAAAGACTGGAGGGTGGATCTCAGAGACTACACTAGGACTACCATAGAGAAAAATCAATAGAGCTATTACACCTGCGCACAGAACACTATTGAATGTTTACTGTAGCTTCCTCTGTCTCCTGTTGGTTTTTATAGTTTTTCAATCTAGATAAACATCATTTGTAACTGATCAACAAGAAATAATTATGTTCTTGTGATGCAAAGCCTCACACAGTTGAGTGAATAGAAAAAAACAACATTTGAGCATTTTCTTAACTGTATCCTTTATGATAAATTCCATCCAGACACAATGAATGATATAAAAGAGGATTTGTTTAAAGTACACTAAAGATAATAGAATCAGTGATCAGTAAAAGTAGAGAACAACACCATCAAAAACAGAAAACACTAAAATTTGTTTGATTTGCCTTAGTTAAAAGAAAAACAGACAACACACGTGTCATCTGCTAACCTCAAACCAACTGAATTTGTTAGAATTAGCTGGGGCATTTTATACGAGTGGAAAATTCTTCTCACTGGTAGGGTTAACTTAATCCTGCTCATTTCTAAATTGGTCTTCACTTTATCTTCTTCTGTAAAGTATTGAAAGGGAAAACTGAATGAAACAGACCTAAAATCATGCATTAGGGTGGGACTAGAATATGACCACTCTGCCAGATAAAGCTAAGTTCTCATGAAAGTGACAGCACAATTTATCGTCTAAAGGGACACACTTCTGGAGAATGAAAGCTTTCAGTATAGTAGTCAAGAAAGCACGAATAAAGCACAATTGTTCTAAGCAAACTGAGATGAGAAATCTAATCCAAATTCTGGCCTCCTGTTTATTAACAATTTGTCCTCGACATATCCTTTAACATGTAAGTTACAGCTTTTGCTTAGAAAAACCTCACAATGTTTTGTTAAGATTAAATAAGGTTTTTAAAAGATGTAAATATCGAGCACAGAGTTTTTGGTGAGTGTATTGCTGCTGCTGCTGCTGCTCTCTCTCTGTCTCTTCCCTCTCTCCCATCTTCCGTCCCTCCCTTCCCTCTCTCTCAGGATATCCTTCTCAGAAATAAGCTAAAGATAGCTTAGAATTTCTGTTTTTGAGGTATCTTTAAGTTTACTGACCAGCTTGAGCCTTTCCAGATGAGGCCTCCTTGGCCAGCAATCTCAGCAATGGCGTCTCCTTTGGAAAAGACCAAAGATCTGGAGAGTCTTCCTGTCACTCTTTCTTAGGGAGGGATTAGAAGAGCAGTCTGTGGAGGTTGAGCCCTAAACAGGACGTGGGCAGAGTCATTTTGAGCCCACACTGCCTTGTTAGAGCATATTGAGATGATATTAAAGTGGTCATTCTAGTAATTTATATAAAGTTATTGACCTTCTTTGTTAGTTTTGTCTTTTTGTTTGGTTGTTTGGGGATGGGATATTATCTGTGGTAGTCCACCAGACAGACCAATATAACCAACCACATGAAAGTCACAAAGGAGCGGGTTAACTTCATCTGCTAATTTGTTTCTGTTTTTGTTTTAGGAGAGGAGCTCCTCATCCCCTGTACAGTTTTTTTTAGCTTTATTAAGGACTCTCACAATGAGGTTTGGTGGACCATTGATGGAAAAAAGCCTGATGACATCACTGTTGATGTAACCATTAGTGAAAGGTATCATAGTGGGCCACAAGGAAGCCACTAACCTTTGCCCCTCAGTCTAATACTAATACGGCAGTTTGCTATGTACTAAACAATGAGAGAAAGATTTTCATTTCTACCTACCGTTCACACAACTGTGAAGAGTTTCAGATCTTTCAGAGCTGTCTTCCTGAGTCATAGCTACTGCACCTGCTATCATCCAAAGCCGTATGCCGCCTAATGTCCGTTAAAGATTTGAATCAGAATGCCCTGTGGCTTGCCATCTCCGCCATGGTTTTTCCCATTGCCTGCTATCATCTTAAGCCTAGCAAAATCAATACATTTATGATACTCACTTGGTAGTAGGTAGGACACTTAGCCTGTGAACAAAAAGGTTACAATGTAGGGCTGCAAATATATGAAAGTAGTCTTTGTCACAGTCCTGGGGACTCTGCCTGTATTTGTGTTTAATACTGCAGAAAACCGTGTTTAATTAGCATATTGCACTGAGCATACATTGTCTATTTTGTTCATCCTTAAATACGTAATCATTTTTTAAATGTTGACTATGTACCTCTATGTTTTTAAATTTTTAAGTTTCAAATGGTTGAGTAACGCTGTTCCCTTATGAAATAACAGCATGAGGCATTTCATTCTTAAATAAACCTGAATGTTTGAAAGAGAAGCATAAATTTTTAAAGGCAATAATATTTCTCTGAAAATGAACTATAGCATTACCAAAGAGCAATTGAAGCACTGCAATTACTAACAAAATCAGCAGCCAATCAATTACATAACAAAAGAATTCTAAAATCTTAAGCTGTGTCACCTGTGTATGGATAGAATTCAAAAGTTGGGTTTTTTTTCCTTAATAAGTTCAGATTTTGTGCATCAGTTATACAGTGGTTACTTTATATTGGATACTTAGTTCCTCACCAGGTAGGTTTTGTAGGAATAACAATGACAGAGTAAACACTGCAGTATAATCTGATAAATACAGTGACTTGGAAAGACTGGCCCGCATAAGGAGATTTAAGAAGGGATTTAGTCAGTTTTAGTAGATTTAGTCAGTTTCAGGGTTCAGTTTAGGAGTTTCTCAGAGGATGTATTACCAAAATAAGGATTTGGGTAGAAATTACCTGGAAAAAGAAACGGAAAGACTTCCTGGTAAGGGAAACTTCACATGCCAAGGCTTAGAGGTTAAGAAGCAGAACACATAAAAAGAAATAACCTTTCCAAAATTGAATTACTTTTTGTAGAAAGGAATATGTGACAGTTGTGGCTGAAGGCTCTGAGGCAGAGTTACTGATCATTTTAGGAATTCTCCTCTTTGCATCCCCCATCTTCACAGAAATAATAACAGTGAAATCACCTTCCTCCTGACTGTGATAGAGATCTGTTGTCAGTGTCTGTCAGAGCAAGAGGTGAAGCTTAGGCTAAACCAATCAGCACCCTTAGCCAGATTTTTAGGACTGATACACAGTAAACCTAATCCAACAGGAAAACTGGATGGCAGTCAGGCATAAGCACAAAGCAGGTCAAAGGGATTTTAAATCTTGATCTTAGACTCAAAGCTCTAGATCTTCGTCTCACTGAGTTTGGGTATATTTACTTTCCCAGTTTTTGTGCTCCTAGCCATTTCTTTTCTTGAGAGTGTTAGGATTTACCCATGACCAAAACATTCTGTGTTCAGCATCCAAGCTTCCAGAATCACTGAAGTGCAACGGCTGCTACTGTGAGATAATAATGATACCCTACATCGACATTGATTAAGCTTTGTTCTCCTACATATCCACAGACATATTCAGTCCGCAGCATGCTTTGGTAAATTACCACATGCAGTGCACTGTGTAGCCATTACCACTTTCCTCTTTTACAAAACACAAGATGTGGAAGCCTTAGTTACCTTGTCCAAAGTATGTGGCAGTAAATGGGAAACCCTGACACAAAGTCCCAGGCATCTAATCACTGAAAAGACTACAGCATTCTGCACCAGAAGCTTGTACAAAAGAGATATTTTTCTTTCAAGAGAGAGCAGTAATAAGAAAGCAATATTGGGATTCATTGTAGACCTGGAGATGGTGTACAGTACACATGGTGAACAGTAGTATCAATATCTAGATGTTCCCTTTCATAGACATTGTGTCACGGGCAACACTGTCTGTAAATATCCTGTCTGCCCCTACCTGGGAGCTCTTTGGTTGCTTCCTTGCCTGATTCACATGTAGTGTGAAACCATGGAGTCTCACACAGGCTTTGATTTTTTCTTCCCCTCTCTCCAGTGCAAGTTACTCTACCATGGAAGACGAAACAAGAACTCAGGTTTTGAGCATCAAGAAAGTCACCCCTGAGGACCTCAAGCGCCACTATGTTTGTCACGCTAGAAATGCCAAAGGAGAGGTTGACGGAGCAGCCACGGTCAAACAGAAAGGTAATGGATGCTCTCTGGACAGATGTGTGAACTCCGACTGTAACATGGTGGTGAGTAGGAGAAGAGAGATTGAGAAGGAGAGAGATCCTGCACCTAGCGCAGCATCTGACATGTAGTCATGAAGCAACACTCAATGGAAACACCTGAGAGAAGGTTTCCATCCACATGAAGATAAATACTACTTCAAATCATACTTATTTTGGGCTGGCTTGGGGTTTGAACTCAGAGCTTCTCACATGTTTGTCAAGGAGCTGTAGCCCCAACCCCTCAAAATATTTCTAATCATTCTAGAACTTTAGTGTCCTAATGGTGCTAAAAAAATTCATAGGATCATCATACGGAAGCATAATTTTATACCTATACAGTCATTAAAACTGAAAATATTCAAAGCTACCAAAGATAAAATTAAGCTGACAGTCACCTGTTATTTGTAGAGCATGAAGACACTTTTAAAAATCATTAATGACAGAGTTCAAGAGGAAAAAAAATCATCTTATAATCTGACCAAATTCTTACATAATTTTCCCGACTAATGGGTTACTATGTACCCATTGATGTCCTTAAAGAATAATGAAATACAAATAGCAATCATCTAATTGTATAAAAGTTAAATAAAGTATAGAGTGCTAGTTCTCAAAAATATATAATTTTTAAATCATCACAAAACATCCTGAATCAATATTTAATTAATTTTGTAATGTACCAACTATAATTGCTAAAAAGAAAATTATGATTTTTACATGTTGTAAAAATTATTGCTATGCTAATATGACTATATTTTTGTATAATAAATAAAATTTGTGAAGCCTCCTTGTGTGAGCTGTTGCTCTTAAACTGTCTAAAAATCTCTTTGGATTTCTCCCCTAATACAGAATCCCAGTCAATCCATCCCTTCCAGAAAGTTTTTTCCGTCTTCTGGAAAAGAAAAAGTAATGATGTCATCACACTTTCAATCAGGTCATTCAGAATCATCCTAGATCCTAGAATTTAGCAGAGCTTAAAATATTTATATCCAAAGTGGAAAAAACTAGTTTATAATCATTACATTTTTGCACTGGGACTAAATCTTTTTTTTAAAAGCTGATGAATCAGCAGGACACATCAGAACATTTTATTACAGATGAGAAAGACATGAGCAAGGCCGGAAGTGTACGTGCCTCTTCAGAAGTCTTGGTTTAATCAGGATAAGTCATTGTTGCTGCTCCTTGGTAGCCTCTCTAAAGACTGATGTCTTCAGACATAGCAACTTTCCAGTGTCAGTTCCTGAGAACTCCACTGGGAATGATTATGGATGCGAGTGCTGCATCTATTAAACTTCAGAGTTCAGATAGCCTGTTGAAATTGCGGTTTCTGTGTATGCTAACTCTGTGATCTCGGTAAAATCATGCAATCTCTCTGAACACTAATTTCTTGATAGTTAAAGTGAGCAAAATAATACCAATACCCCATCAGGTCATATGAAAGTACTCCAAACAGATCTTGTGTCTCATAATATATACTAATTCAATGAATATTACTCTTGTGATATTTTTCACAAGGTTTTCGTAAGTGTTATTTGACAGAGGCTTTTACGATCACATGCATGTCATTGTACTCTAGGCTTAACAAAATTAATCGGATTTCTTATCTCAGGAACCCTAAGGTTTTCATATGTTAGCTGGCATTTGATATGAATATCCATGGGGTTTATGATAGAGAGAGGTTTCAAATGTATCTCACTTGAGATTTCTTAAGTCTGGGACATTGCATGGAACACCTCTTCTGAGGCATGCGTTCTGGAAAGCAGTTATGGAAAAATGATATAAATTATTAATGTATTGTCAAAATTAAAAATCAAAACAACCAAGTAAAATATTTTCTTTAGGAGTGAGGCAGAAATCTGCCACCAGAGCTGCTTGAGCCACTAAGCCCCTGCTCCAAGTGCAGTGTGGACAGCGTTAGGGACATGAAAGGAGATGTGGTCAGATGAATTGTGCTTTTTGGTCCAGCGGTACCAGATGTATTCTGGCTTTGTTACTTAGCTTCTGATCTGGGCCAGCTAATGCTGAAATTCAGAGGGGCTATCTGAATTCATGAGCTCATGTTCTTTCTATGTATACTATGATACTTTCTATGATCCTTCCCTGAATTCAGTCACTCAGCATTCTCAGGACTTCATCAAAAATAAAGGGGGCAAAGACTCGGATACAAAATAAGAGAAATTTACTTAATCAACTTTATTGATTAAGCATGCATGACAGCATATTGTCATCTAGTCAGCTAAAGCAATTATAAAAGAAGAGAAAGTTAATGTTAGCACGTTAATGTACTGTTGTTTTTTAATATGATAGTGAGAAGGATTTAGGGAAGGTGTAAGTTTAATTTTATGAGAATCTGCCAAATCTACTTTCAGTTTTTTGGTGGTTTTCAAAAGAACCAGGAATCCCAACTCAGGACCTTATGCTTGCCAGGCAGCTGCGTGTGTCACTGAGCTGTATCCCTGACCAAGTCTGCGTTTTGGATGTACCCACATTTCAGATGCTACTCTGCCCCACCAACTTTTGAGTTATCTGATGTTAAAATTTTAACTAAGAGATGAGTAGTGGTATCACACTATTTTTAATTTGCATTTCTCAGGTACTAATGATACTGAGCACTTTCTCATAAACTTATCGGTCATCATTTAATAATCCTTTTTGTAAAGTAGTCACAACATCTTTAGTCACTTTTGCTATTGGATCATTTGTTTTTAATTTAATGGGTAACTGGACACACAGAGAATGCAAAACTTTGTCAAATATATAATTTTACACATTTTATCCAGCTTGTAAATTCACTTTTTTCTCAATTTTTTTGTTTAGTTGTTTTCTAAGTCCTTACTAGTAGTTTTGTCCACATTAGGTTAGAAATACCTTGCAGTTTCTTCTGGAAAACTAGTATATTTTCCTATGATCCCTTTCACAGTATTTTTGTATATATAAGTAAAGCATTTTATCTGTCAGTTGTTTCCAAATCATATTGAAAAATCATTTCCTTTTTGTTGAATTGTTCTGAAAACTTGTCCAAAACAGAGTAGGCCCCGAAGTTGTGACTGTCTCTGCATTCTGCCTTGTGACCTGTGGATCATTCATCCAGTGTGATTCTATCTTAATTAGCATAGCTTCCAAGTAACTCATAAATCAGATACCATACCTCTGCCTGCTTTTCTCTACATAAATTGATTTGACTGTTTTAGAGCTTGTTGATTGATACATATTCTAGGGTTTTGATTCAAACTTTACTAAAATATGAATCAACTTAGGGAAAACTAAAAACTTTAAAACACTGCTTTCCAATCCAAGGACATGATATATTTCTCCATTTATTTGTGTATTTTTATTTTTTAAGCAATAGTTTTTCCTGTCTGTCTGTCTCTGTCTCTGTCGCTCTCTCTCACTGTCTCTCTGACTCTGTCTCTCTCTCTCTCTCTCAGATTTGAAGGTACAAGTCTTGCACACGTATTGTTAAACTTGTAAAACATTTCGGGGTTTCGATGCTATTTTAGTAACCATCTTTAAAATTTCACTTTCAAATGGTTTCTTGGTAAACTATACAAGTGAAATTATTTGATTTTTATGGATTGATCTTGATCTTTTGGCCTTCTAAATTGATGTCCTGGTTTGTGTTCAGATCCCCTCCCAAGCCTCATGCAATCATGGACGTGGCTAAGTCTGCTATTCGTAATTGGTTCATTGTCTGATGCTGGGATTGGTTGTGTGAGTGCTGTGCCTACCCAGAGTGGAGCTGGCATACAGTGTAAGGGCAGGAAGGGTGCGTACATGGACCTCTTTTGCTGTGTTCATGCTTGGTTTTTGCAGTGTCTATGATTGGCTGCCATGCCACCTGCCTTGGAGCCATCTGAGTATGCACTGTAACTCTTAAAACTGTAAGAAATAAACCTTCCCTTGCTTCACTTTGGGTTTCACGTCAGGTATTTTGTGTTAATAAGGAGAGGAAAATAATCATGATAATTGACTACCTAAATGGTAAAGTTTTTGTTTGTTTTATTCTTTTGGTCACTTAAGATTTTCTATACACTTGATCATCTTTCCCATACAAAAATAGATTTTACATTTCCTTTTCAGGTTGATACCTTTGATTACTTTTGCTGTCTGTTTCTTTTGGGCCTCCAGTTCAGGGATCAATAGTAGTTATGAAAGTGATTCATCTTTGCATTATTGAAGATAAACATTCACACTATATATTTTTAAATAGCTTCTATCTGCATGAGGGATTAAGGTTTTTTCATTTTTCTAAAAATAATGTTTTAATAAGGGTATTAAATTTTGTTGAATTCTCTCCATCCAATGAGTGGTTCGTGTGAGTTTGTTTTTCTTTTTCTAATCTGTCAGTGTGATAATTTACAGTGCTTGATTTTGAAAAATTTATCCAGTTTTACATTCCTGGAATAAACCTCCACATCAGCATGTCTTGTCTTTTTAATACATTGTCTGACTTGATTTGCTAATATTTTCTCAAATATCTGTGCACATGTTAAAGTTTTTGTGCATATCAGTATTCATGTAAGACACTGATTTACAACTTTTATTTCTTACAATAATGTTCATGCTATGAATAACTATGCCTGTCTTCTGAATGCCTAAATATAAAATTGTTGTTATTTTTGGATAATTTTTAAAAATTACCTATTAACTACCTGGGCCTGGGGTTCTGTTTAAAAAAGAATGCTTTGAATTGTAAGTTCAGTTTATTTAGAAGTTATTCCAGCCTTCTGTCTCTTCTTGTGGCAGATTTGAGAATTGTTCTTTCAAGGAATTTTGTTTTAAATTTATCTAAATTTTCAAAATATTGGCATGCCTTTCTTTTATTATCATTTTATGCCTACAGAATTTTCAGTGAGGTTTCACTATCATTCTTGCTGTTTGTAATTTGTGTTTTCATTTTCTGTTCTTTATTGTTTATCGTTCCAATTTTACTTTTTTCAATAAACATATCTCCATTTTTATTGCTAAAATATATTG